CTGATCCAGCAAAGTGATATAATGTGAGTCCTTATTTTTCTTTTATTTGCCACCTCATTTCTTCTTTGAACTATGTGTTGATTTACATGTATCTGTTACATTCCTATGAACTGCAGCTCGTTCTCCAGGCTATGCATGATAATTAACTCTTATGACCATGAAATGCATTCTCCTGCTACTGGTTATAGGTTAATGTTTTACAGTTGAATAAAAGGGGCTTCTGACCTCTTCATTTAGATGAGATGAGGGTGAGACCATTGTTGATGCAATCAGCAGCTCATAATGTGGGATTTATTAGGACTGCTGAAGCAACTATGATACATGTGAGACATGCCAAGAATATTTTAGTGTCCTTCTTTCATACAAATACAGTTGCCCCTCCATTTTTGCAGGCTTGAAGTCCGTGTCCCTTGCTCATTCACGGGCAGCAAATGGAAGGAGACAAAATGGGGGGGGGGGGGCGTGCTGCCATTCAAGCCTATGGGGCTTGAATATTTGTGGTTTTCCATTTTCGCAGGGGGGTCTGGAATAGATCCCCCACAAAAACGGAGGGGCGACTATAGATTCTTCCAGCCTAGATGCATTTCAGAGAAAAAGACTACACTTTGTCATTGTGTTATGGGATATCGACACCAGTGGAGTGACTTGGTATATTTAGGGCCTTTGCAGACTGCCAGAAATAGCGCACATTAAATTGAGACACTGCCCTGGCTCAGTGCTAGGGAATCATGGGAACTGTAATTTATTGTGGCATCAGAGCTCTCTGACAGAGAAGGCTCAATGTCTCAGAAAAAAATACAATTCCCATGACTCCCTAGCACTGAGCCAGGGCAATGCCTCAATTTAATGTGCACTATTTCTGGCAGTCTGCAAAGGCCAATAGTTTATTGCTGTTTGCATTGACTGGCAGTGTCTCTCCATGGTTTGATGCAGAAGTTTTTCCCATCCTACCTGGAGATGTTAGGAACTGAAGCTGGGACAATTTGCATGCAAAACATGTTTTCTGCCTCTGCCAACAAGCAACCAAGTTACAGTATGGTGCTTCTCCTATAAAGCCTATGAAAGGTAGCCCAGAAAGAAAAGAGCAAAATGGAAATAAATATTTGTGAAGAGGAAAATAATCAAGGAGTGCAGAAGGATTGCCATCCATAGGACATATAAATCTGGCAAATGTTTGATTTGCTTACTGTGGTTTTGACATTAGTGGCATGTACAAATATCCAAGTCAAGACTACATAGCAGACTGCCAGAAATAGTGCACATTAAATTGAGGCACTGCCCTGGCTCAGTGCTAGGGAATCATGGGAACTGTAAATTATTATGGCACCAGAGCTCTCTGACTGAGAAGGCTCAATGTCTCAGAAAAAAATACAATTCCCATGATTCCCTAGCACTCAGTCAGGGCAGTGCCTTAATTTAATGTGCACTATTTCTGGCAGTCTGCTTAGGCCTATAGTTGCCTAGCTCAAGAAGCAAACTCTGGCTTTGGTGGCTGTTAATTATTTCTATTTTTAATCTTCCTTGCTTACCAAGGCTGGCTCAAGATGTTTCGCTGCCTGGGGCAAAGGACAAAATGGTGTCCCCTCTTCAGTTCACATACAGAAAATGACAGGCCTGATAGTTGATTCTTACCTATAAAATACTGAGGAGATAGCATGTTCCGCCAGACCCAAAGCAGCAAGTCAATTTAGGGAGCTCAGAATAGCTTGTGTGACATGCATAGTTCTATTCTCTAAGATATGGAAACAGCTGGGGGAGTATATGAGGAACAACCAAGAGGTTGCTAATGCTTCCCGGTCCATTTGCTGTCTCAGGTAAGCCCTTTGCAGACTGCCAGAAATAGTGCAAATTGAGTCCACTTTAAGGGTTAGGGTTAGTGCTAGGGAATCATGGGAATTGGTTTTTTTTCTGAGACATTGAGCCTTCTCTGCCAGAGAGCTCTGGTGACACAATAAAATACAGTTCCCATGATTCCCTAACCCTAACCCTTAAAGTGGACTCAATTTGCACTATTTCTAGCAGTCTGCAAAGGCCAGTAGTTATCCCAATTTGCCTAATGGTAGGGCAGAATCTGCTGCTTAAGCATTGATATTTTAGTTAGGCCTCATTCACACTACATAATAACCCAGTTTTCAAACTGCTCTGAACCGGTTTAAAGGGCCCTTGTTTGCATTTGCACTGAATTTCTGGCGCAGTTTGCGAGGGGGGGCAGTGAATGCTAAAACCAGTTAAACCG